CACAATCTATTAGAAACTGAATAAATACTGGCCGATTATAGATGGAACATCACAAATATCATCTTTACTTGACCCAATTCTTTCGTGAGGAATTAATGCAAATTCCTGTTCTTTGCTAAACTTATATCCTTTTTGAAGACGATCACGAGTCTGACGCCTTTTTTCTTTATCTACCTTTGGCACACCAGTTGTCAAGAGCTCAAGTATTTCTGGTGCATACCGGCTAAGCTCTTCAAGGCTCATTTCATTGGTGAGTTTGTGATCTGTAACAAACTTGGTTGCAATAGCAGACATGAAGTGGTATGTGGACTATATGGTGATTGTTAGATTAATCTGTGGTATTCAGATTATATTAAGTAGGAAAAACTTCAATTCGAAAAAAATTCCTCAGAGCTGTGCTTTTTTCGGAAAAAGTAAATATCAGAGACGGCTCTTGAGAAGGTTAAAGAAGCAAAAAATAATGATATGACTTATACGGGTCTTTATGAGACCATCTGCTCTGACCGGGGTTTTATATCGATTTGAAAATTGCGGATAGATAGAATATGCGAAAAAAAAACACAGTCATGGAACCGCTATTCCAAAGCTATGAATGCTCTAAGCCAAGAGGTTATAGTAATATTTAGTAAAACGTTCGTGCTAAGGCTAATATATGTTCTGGCCCTAAAACATTTGTTTTGGTAAATGTATCACATAAAGCACCCGGTCTATACTTTGAAGGAGCTAAATTCGGGTGATAGAAGAATTTCATGAGTACTTCATTCCTCCAGGCTTTCGTTTCTTCATGCTCCCAAGTTATTTCTATTGCAGACAAGTTATCACTAGAATAATTCGTTTGTATTAGATTCTGAAGCAAGGATCATTTATTTTTTTCAAGGATAAATAATCTCATTCCTCTTATGACAGCAGATTCTACACTAATAGGAAACTTTTTACAAATATCCGATCTACTAGCTAGGATAGATAAAGGTGGAATTATAGCCAGATAGTAGAAGTCGGCTAAGGGGTCTAATGCGAATTCACCGATGTACATAGTTCCAATATCTTCTAAATAATCTGAAAGTCTATCAGCATATTTATAGCCTTCACGAATTAACTTCTGAAATAACTTTCCGTTTGGATCGATCCATCAGCCGGATACTATATTGAGTACTGTCTTTTGCATCATGTCTATAGCGTAAGTATGAAAAGATAATTTATCTCATTATAATACCGACTAATTTAAATACATATTTTATTATGAAATTAAAAGTGAAAGAGAGTTTTATATAAAAGTCATAACATTTACCAGAAATTTTAGATCAAAATTTTTTTTCAATAAAATGAATTGTAAAACTTGAATTATATTGTACAAATTATATCAAATCGTCAGATACACAAAAAAAATCTACACTTTCCAAACTCAAT